CTTGGGCCATGGTAGGCCTCAGGGAATTGAGTGGATGGAACAGTGCCATGGGTCATGGGCCACCCTCCCTAATACCAATCTCCGCACCCCACAGGCCAACTCAGACTCCTCTGCCCAGCATGGAAGGTGTCCATGATTCAACTGCACTGACCAAACCAACCTTCTTTCCTCTCCTCCTCAGCCAGAAGCTCTGCTCTATTTAGCCTCAATTTCTCTCTCTCTCCCCCACCTATTCCAAACTCACTTGCACTTTTATGACTTTCTTCATTCTCGCCTCCTCCTTCTAATAATTTTTTTAAATTCCAACATCATCTGAATCTTTCTATTTTTCAGTATCAGCCAATTCCCACCTCAGTCTTGATATTTATGAACATTTATTCCCCTTTAACATCATTCCTTATCCTTTTCAAATCTAATTGCAGTTGAAACCACTACCCCATGATTGAATTTGAAGTTATTCTCTAGTTTCAGAGGTTCTCAGTTTTATCTCAGGAACTAAATCATAAACTCAAATGCAGTACACATGGTGGCTATGACTGCTGTAGATGTTACATCCTCAGTCTTAGCACATAATAGGTGCTCAACCACCTTACTGTAGCGTGGTTGACCAATGAAAGTATTTTTCCTCTCTTCCCCATCTCCAAACTGTTTGGAGAGGTAACTTTTTTCCAGCTTAATGTATTACTGTACATTTAGTATCTGGGAGGTAAATCTAAGGCTCTTACATACTCCCTGTGCCTCATGTATTAAATTTATAAAGTCAAAGACAGACGGCTACAAAGAAACCTTAATCGTTTCTGGTATTATTAAATCTGTTTTTGATATTATTAAATCTTCTAGTTTGAGAGCTTAGAGAGCCCAAGAAAATTTTCTTTTAATCCCTATGGACTTTATATTCCATAGATGAAGTTACAGAGCTGGCCTGAAAAGCAATTTTGTACAATCATTTACTGAAGGGCAGGGAGAAATCATTACAGTCCTCCTTCTGAGGTTGGCAAATAATAAGCATGCTCTACTCTCTTCAAGCCCAGAAGAACTGCGTGGGCTTGATAAATATCCACACTTGGCCCAACTGCAGCTCTAAACAGATATCTATAAACATTGCGGAAAAGAACTCTTGGAGGGGCAGTGGGTGTTACCAATGGGTGGCCATGGATGCTTTTGTTGGCAAACAGGCAGCAGCCGTCTGTCTCCCCACTGGAGGACTACTCTGCTATGGTGATCTAGAATTCCTTCCCTTTGCTGGTTACAGGATTAACCATCATGTCTTCTTTTAAAGCAGCCATCTCAACTAGGTGTGATTTTGCCCCACCTTCATCCTATGGTGGAGACTCTTTGTTGTTAGACAGACTCTCACTACATTGTATCTTCCTGCCTCAGTCTCCCACCCAGCTGAGATAACAGGTCCGCATCACCATGTCTGATTTAGGATGGGCCAGGGGTTGAACCTGGCCTCCTATGCCGCCTCAGTCTGCCGAGTAGCAGCATCAGCCACATGTGCTGCCATGGTTGGGCCTGGAGACATTTCAGCAGGGAGGGATGCTGCTGGCATCTCATGGTTGGAGGCTAAAGGTGATACTAACCCCCCGCACTGCACTGTGCAGCCCCCGCCCTCACAACAAAGAATGTATGCATCCCAAGGTGTCTGTTACACTCAGCTTGAGAAACCTGGTCTTTCTTCTTTTTTTTCTTCTCCTTTAAAAACTGTTTTAAATAGGACTGACCATATCTTTTTTTTTTTTTTTTTTTTTTCGGTATAGCATGTTTATTTATTCATTTAGGCATTCATTCCACAAGTATTTATTGTGAAACATAAAACATAGTCCAGTAGTGCCATTCTGTGTGTCAGTGGACTCACTAATTCGTTCACATTATATTTATTGAGCATCTGCTCTGTGGCACTGGGGTCTGGAACAACCCAGTCCAGGTTTTCTATCCGGTGAAAGGGGGCCAAGCTTACACACATTGATAATTAAATGAACAAGAACATTTCAGCCAGTATTAGTGTGGTGAAGAGACCAGGCTCCAGAGGAGGTCGCTGAGTGAGATGCTACTTTCAAGAGGAGGTGAACGAAGGCCTCTCTCTATGGGTCAGATTGAAGTCGAGGCAAGAATGAGGAGCTGACTGGCAACATTGGCAGGAAAAATATTCAAAATAGAAATGTCCAGAGGCTCAAGGCAGGGAAGGTTCTGGTAGATTCAAGGGCCAGAAACACACACGAGGTGGACGTAGCAAGGTGGATGAGATGACCAGGGCTCAGACTGGGCAGGACCTTATAGACCTCGGTAGGTTTAGAAGGTTTTAAAAGGTTTTGCAGGTGCAGTAGGGAGCCATGGGAGGATTTTAAGAAGGGTGGGTCATGGTTTGGTTTAAGTATTGCTAAGTCTACTCAGGCAGCTGGATTGGGAATGCCCCCTTGAGGGTAAGATGGATGTGAGGCACCAGGCAGGAGGCTCCTTATAGGAGGCAGTCCCACTACACAAACTCACATGCAGTCTTTCATAACATGTGATTTTGGTGGGCTTTTTTTGAAGATGCCTAGTACATACAGGACACAAATGCATATATGTGAGGAGTGCAGGGGAAGTTGATTAGGAAAAAAAAAAAAAAAAAAAAAAAAAAAAAAAAAAAAAAAAAAAAAAAAAAAAAAAAAAAAAAAAAAAAAAAAAAACAAACAAAAAAAAAACTAAAAAGGCTTCTTCGAGGACCAAAACTAAAAAGGAGATTGAGAAGCACAGCTCTGTGGCAATTAACTATCCCTCATCCATTTACCCACTAACATATCCTGATTTATCACCTTTTAAGTATTTATAGAGAATAATCTTGCTTATTTTTGTTTTCAGTATGTTCTGTTCCTTCCCACACCTCCGAGTGTAAGTTCCTTAAAATCCAAGATCTTGGCCATTTGTTCACCATTGTATCTCCAGCATCTTCACAATCCTTAATATGTAGTAATTATTCAATACATATTCGGTGACTCAGTTCCCCTTTTGGCCAAGGAATTTGAAATTTTGGCCAATTTCATCTACTAGAATAAAAACCCAGTGGGCCAACTGGAGCCTTCTTGGGTTTCAATCCTCACTTACTACCATATCGCTGGGTCCCTTTAGTGCTGAGTTAAGCATAGTTCTCTTCTCTGTCCCACAGACAAGCTGATCTCCTAACTCTAGTCTGGACTATTCAGTTTTCTCTCCTCGCTGACTATTGAGAACCCAGTAACCAAGTAGCCCTGCCCTTCCTGATTCTCCTGAGATGCCACAGTGGATACCACATGACTATGTGACTCATAAAATTAAAAACATTTTCAACAAAATTACAACAATGGGATAACCATCTTAGCAATCACACAGCAGAAGGTATGTATGGTCATCTCATTTCATTTAGTGGTAAATTGAATCACAGCCAGCATTTACAATAGAAAAAAAGACTAGAAAGAAGCTAACCAAAATAGTAACCATGGTATCCTTCTCTGGCGTATAGACTTGCAGTTTATTTTCACCTTATGTTTTTAGTTCATTTAAAAATTTCTATAATGAGTATTTCTCTTGTCAGAAGAAACAAGGGTTTTTGGTGGTCAGAGCTTTAAAAACCCATCCATGATATTAGGGAGACATATATACTTTGGGTCTACCGATCCAGGACCTTGTACTTGGTTACAGTGTAACCCCCACAGAAAAACATATTTGGGGGGGATTTCTGTGCTTAGAGAAACCATGAGATTTGGACCAACTTAGTTCATCAGGCCAATAGCACAGTCTTTTTGATAGGATATACTATCTGTTCCAAGGAACTAAGTATTTGTTAGAATTTTCAAAGGTGTCTATAACTATCAAAAGTACAGAAAAGTATTTCTACTACAAGGTACCTCACCCATGAAAAATGCAAAACAAATACTCCTCCAGCTTTCCCCCATTTCAAAATATTTTTCAGGGGCTTTTTGGCTCTCTGAAGCCCCAGGGTTACAAAACACAGATGTAGACTCTTTTGTGAAATTTCTCTTGAAACCCAGGCCACACAACTCTTCTTTCCACCTCACAAGTGGCCGCCATGACTGACTAAATTTTCCTTTGTCTTGAATGGTTGTCTGAGTCCTGCTCCCTCCTAGGAAGCCCCAAATGGACCCATCCAACCAGTTCATATTTCTGTAGCCTTAAAGCCTTCATTAAGGTTTTTACTTTTATTTCATGTTCAAAGTGTGATTTCACATGTTCGAACTTTTGGCACATCAGTTAACAAAAAGACTCACTCCAGCAGTCGACCCAGCAATCCAGTAATGATTGCAATCCTCAATGCTCATTATGACAACTGCCAATGTTACTGCAGGAGCTCAAACCATCACATCTTAGCACACAGATCATTTTAGCTCCTAGCCATATGCTGTAGCCTTGGTCTCAGGTATACCCTCAAGGCCACAGTATACATGAAGCTGCAACAACATACACACTCTTATAACCAAGGTGAATCCTACACATCATCAATGTTTGGGGACCGGGACCAGCTGATGGTGTAATGGTTGCATCGCTGGACTCCCACATGGCTGACTGTGGTTCCAGCCCTGGAGCTGGTGGCTGGAAACACTCAGGGTGCATGTGCATGCATGCCCCAAATCCCCAGAGGAGCATGGAGGGGAAGGGATTGCTGCATGGCCATTTCCTCCTGGGGAGTGATTTCTTGCTTTCTGTCTTTCTGGTGAACACATGCACCCTTTAGCAAACAACAACAACAACAACAAACCTCTCTAAATAAAATAAATAGTGGCCTACCTGGGGAAGGGCTCACAGCACAGAGGGGGTTGAGAAGTGTATGGGCTGAGGACTACCAAGGGACTATAGTATTTCTTACATCCAAAGCCCTCTTCTCTGGGACCTTGACTTTTTAGGACCCTCACTGAAAACAAACTGACCTAGAGAAAAGTCAATTAGTAAAAGACTAGTTGGCTGCTCAAACCTGTCCAAACGATAAAGGGGGTGTTATTTGCTAGGAAACAGACTATTCTTACCTCCTCCAGAGCCCATAAAGAGTCCACCACAGGCTTGATCTTCTTCTGGTTGTAGAGCCCAATGAGTTTGTCTACCACTCCACGAATGAGGCCCGCTCGGCCCTGTTTGAAGAGCAGATTTAAAAGGGAGAATCCTGCGATGACTTTGTTCTCCTCATACAGCTTGATGGGGTTCACTTTCTCCACCTGCCACCACTGGAAACAGAGAAGGTGTCCGGTTACACAGGTCTGCAGAATTGGCAGCCACAGCAGGGGGAGCAGGGGGCTGCAGCTAGTCAGAGTCCAGCTGGCCAAGAGATGGCTCTTGCTGGTGGATTTTAGGGAAAAACAGATGGTGATGCCTATGAGAAGCCCCTGACCTAGCTGGGAGGGCGGTCCCACACCAACAACCAGCCCATGGGTGGTGGGAACACTAGACATGTGTTCAGGACCGCCAGCTCTGGGACTGAATTCTCTGTTACTCTCTGTGCTCCATTTGTCTCAACCCATGACAGTGGCAGGATATTGTCTTAAGAGTAAAGCACGTGGCTTAGTGCGTGGTGGTGGTAATGATGGAGTTGGTGAAGGAAATGGTGGCAGAGAAGTTTAGCAAAGGTAGTGAGGACGTGGATGTGGGACAGGTGATGACTATGACCACAGGGACAGCTTTCCGGGGGGCGGGGGGGGGCAGGAAGATAGCAACAAGGCTAGACCTGAAGAGCTGTGTCAGAATTCTCTAGACAAAGAGTAAGAAAGGGTAACTTAGAAGGAACAGCATGAGAAAGATGAAACCTAAGTATTGGGATTAAATCAGTGTTTTTTGTTTGTTTTTATTTACTTTTTAAAGAGGGTTTTGCTATAGGGTGCATGCACTCTCTGGAGAGACATAGAGACAGAAAGCAGGAAATCACCCCTGAGGGAGGATGGACACACCTCCATTCCCCTCTCAGGATTTTGGTCATGCACACACATGAGCCCAGAGTGAGTTTCAAGCTGTCAGGTCTGGAATGCAAACTGCAGTTGACCCTGTGGGAGTCCAGCCCCTTAACCATTGCACCACTTGCTGGCCCCAAATCAGTGGTTCTTAACTGCTCCCCAGGGGGCATTTGGCAGTATTTGGGTTGTGATTGGCAGGGTGGGGAAGTGCTACTGGCATCTCGTGGCCACATGCCAAGGGTGCCGCTACGTATCCTGAAATGTTCCAGACAGCCTGCACAACAAAGTTACCCAGCCCAGGTACCAATAGCATCAAAGCAGCTGCGTACCAAAGTCCTGGGGAGAACACACTCGACCAGGGAAAGTGGCCGTCTCTTTTCTAGTCTCTCGTCTCCTTCCTCCAGTCACCAAGATAAGTACATAATCGAGAAACAACCTACAGAAACAGTTATCCAATTACTTTGTTCTGATTGAATTGCTTTTCCTTTGGAGCTGGTTATAGATTAGAAATTCATACTTCTAGTTTAGGGATGGTTCTAAGGTAAAATGCTTAATATTGGTTTCAATATAGAATGCAAAGAATATGACAGGTGCTTCCATACATTTAAAGTTTGTATGTTACTGATGTGCTTATCGATATCCTGCCGCTTGCCAAAAATAACTGAGGAGGCTCACAAAAATAAACAAATTTTAAATAAAAATGATTTTATTTAACTTTATTTATTCATTCATTTATTTATTTCGATTTGACCAGAGAGGGATAGAGTTTGGGGGAGAGAAAAAGAGAGAGAGATACTAAGCAAGCCACCAGGTCTGGGACTTGAACCGCAGTCAGCCATATTAGAGTCCAGCAACCTTAACCACCAAGCCACCTGCTTACCCCCAAAAGTAAACAATTTTGACTTTTTAACTGAGAAGCTCAGAATGGCAGGCTTCAGCACAAATGAAGGCTTGCTGAATCTACAGTGAGAGAATTCTAAAGCTGAATGTCTAGTTTAGAATCCCAGCTCTGCCGACTTCTAGTTGTGTGGCTTTTGGAAACTCACTTAACCTCTCTGTGCTATTTTCTCTCTGTGCCTCACGGGGTGGTTATGAGGGGGTAAAGACATTGAAGCATATATAGTGCTTAGACCAGTGCCTGCCAAGTGCTAGATACTCTGTAAACACTGAGTGTGTTTATTACCATCTTAATTTGAAAGGGATGATTTTGACTCAGTGAACGAGCTCCAACGCTCGAGTCAGACTGCTCTCTAAATGGGAACTTTCTCTGTTGCTATTGTCACCATTACGGTGTAAAAGCTAATGGCATGTCGAAAAAGAGTGAAGCATAACCTCTGCGGCAACTTTAGGATGGAATGATACTAACACAGCTGAGTGAGAAATCTCTGTGTGATGCCAAATACACTTTTAAGTTCTCAGCCTTTCTTCAATGTATAGAAACAACTTTATTTAGGACCAATAGATGGTATGGAGGTTAAGGTGCTAGATCCCACATGGCTGGCTGTGCAGTTCGAATCCTAGACCCAGTGGCTTGAAAATCATACTGAGCATGTATGTGTGCATGCCCAAAAGCCCAAGAGGGGAGTGCAGGAGAAAGGACTGCAGCGCGGCCATTCCCTATGGGAGAGGGGTGGTTTCTTCTCCTCTCTTTCTCTCTCTTTCCATTTGGCAAACGTACATGCCCTATAGCAAAAACTAACAACAAAAACAGATTTCTTTTTAGAATATTGGAGAACAGAGTCCTTTCACTCCTTGGCTTGTCCGCTCTTCAGTTTAATACTTCCAGGTGATGAACTGGCGTGGGACTGGGCTCTGACAGGGAGAAGTCTTGCTTCTTGAGCTCCAGCTACGAAGCATTCTGAAGCCGACACCCCTGTTTGGGGCAGAGGAACCTCCCTCACCATCCTAGGGTTTTCATGAATGCCTTCGCTGAGCATGGACACACTGCAATTATTTCGTTAACACTGTATGTTGGGACTGCGCATTTAGGAGAGAGGGAAAACACTTCTTTCAATTGTATGTAATTTGGGACCAGCAGCCTGTCAGGCTCATGTTAATTACAGCCACAGCCACAAAACAACTGTGAGCAGTTTGGGGCCTGTCTTCAGGGGGTACACTCCACACAGCATCATTCGTTAGACTCCATTCTTGCTCCTCCGTTAGCTTCTGTAGATGAGATGATCCTTGACCTAGACTTTAAAGTCCAAATGTTCTAATCCCAGAACGAGGGCATGTTTGGGAGTGAGGGCGGGGAATGTGAAGTTTCTGGCAGCCAGTCTTAGCACTTAGGGCACACATAAATACCTCACAGTGCCGGTTAGAATGACTTCTAAACTCCTTAGCAGGCTCTTCCTTGACCACCTGATTGCCTGACCTCATCCTACTGCTTTCTATTTTAGCACCCCGTTTTTAATCTCCTTCAGGGGTTCATAGCCATTTACCATCCTGTCATTAATGTCTTGTTATTTTGGATTTATCTCCTCCATTCGAATATAAAAGCTAGAAGGACTGACAGTGGCATCCTCTTGTTCACTGTGATAATCCAGTGCCTGGCACAGTGCCACAGGTGCTCAGAAAATGTCTCTGCAGCGAGAGAACCTCTCCACGCTGTGCTGTGTATGGGAGGCTGGGAGTGGAGAGGACAAAGATAAGCGTTTCTGAGAAGCAGCAAACCCTTGTTGTGGTGGGTGGGTAGATGAGATAAAAATCAAAATTCAAAACCCAATTAGTTTAATTCTAGTAAGTATAGGTCTAGATGGGAATCTAGATCAGAGGAGGCCAAGAATGGGATGAATGCCCAGGGATGTGGCTTCTCAGTGGCAGACCAAGTAATCACCATATTTAGAGCATGACCTCCGGGGATAGGGGTTCATGAACTGGTCCTTACTGAAAAATCACCCAGGACCTTGTTCAAGTTGTAGGATACCAGTTGGTATTTCCAAGTCAGTAGGTTGGGGACACAGAGAAATCTCCCAAAGACTTTTCAGAAAGCTGTCAAACTCAAAGGCTGGTCTCTCTGTGGAGCCAATAAAATGTACTCACGCTTAGTTCACCAACGATAAGAATGCCAGTGCTTAAGTAATCTCTTTGAAATCAAAACAAAATTTTCACTGCCATTCCTACCTCTCTGCTTCATTGGACTAAAAGTAGCCCAAGTCATAGACCTGCCTCTATGCAGTGAAGAGTGAAAAATAGACTTTATTAAAACTGAGTGATATGGGACCAGAAGATGGTGTAATGGTTACGTCGCTGGACTCCTACAAGGCTGACCATGGTTTGAGCCCCAACACTGTGGTTTCAAACTCATGCTGGATGTGCATGCACGGGCCCAAAATCCCAAGAAGAGACTGGAGGAGAAGGGATTGTGGCATGGTCATCCCCCCTGGAGGGTGATTTCTCACTTCCTGTCTCTCTGTCTCTCCCTGTCTGGTGAGCACATGCATCCTATAGCAATAATCTCTCTAAAAAAACAAACAAAAAACAAGAGTGATGCAGATGAAGGGCAAACACAACCAGGCCGAGGTCCTAAGATGGAAGAGCTCACAACATGCGAGTCCACATATCACCATGTTGTATTAGATGCACACGGACACTTACTGATTTTGCAAAGCTGAAGAAGCTCTTGGTCTCTCCAGTTACCATGTTGGATGAGCCTGCAAATAGAAGATTCTCAGATCAAGCAATTGATTACAAACTTAGGCATCTCTTGTTACTCATGAGAGAATGGCAGTTGTTCCAACCAGAATTAAAGAGCTTGAAAACAAATGTGATTCGGTTTTGGAAAAATGAGGAAAATGAGAGTGAGGCATTAAGTTGACTATATTTTTCCTTAAATATTTAAGGCATATAGATTCTTTTCATTTTTTTTTTAAAAAAAGTGTTCATTTACTTCTTCATAGAG